GTACCACCGTGGCTGGTGACTTAGTTTTTTAAGGTGGACGTGACCCACTCTTCCCACCAATGACAATTAATCTTGTGTTTTTTAAATGCGTTATAATCATAATCAATTAGTGGGACTCATTTTGACACATTCAAAAAATGAACGAAACATAGTTTTCTCTATTTCAATCCTTAGTACTACCCACTTTCTTCTCTTCCTTCCCCCTCTAATCTTGTGTTTAAAGTAGATTGTTGAGTGGTTTACCTATATACCTCCAGGGGGTGCTTAACCACTGAGCCACATCCCCAGCCCTTTTTATTTTATTTTTTTGGACAATGTATTAGGGTCTTGCTAAACTGCTGAAGCTGTCTTTAAATTCGAGATTCTCCTGCCTCAGCCTCCCAAAATGCTGGGATTATAGGTATGCACCACTACACCTGGCACATTGTGTTAATACATCTCAACAGGATTTAGAGCTAGAGGCATGAACTCTGAATTCTACGGATTTCCATAACTGAACTCCTCTGCATGACATAATCATAAAATACTGTAACATTTTTAGGAAAACAAGGGGCGTTTGCTTATGTTGGGAGTTACAATGTAAAGATTTAATTCAGAGTCTTTATTGTAGAAATTAAGTTGATTTGCAGATTATCTCATTTCAGTACATTTTATTTACCTATAACATTCTGAAGCTCTGTTTTTTTTTCCATTTCTGTTGGTATTATGTTTCTTTTGTTCATTAAAAACCAGACTTCACATATCTTCATGTCTTTCTCTGTTCTCACAGCTGCTTTACAGCTAGCTGACTCTGACCTATTATCTTCCAAATGAATGGCATATCCTGTAGATGCACCTTCCAAATTATTTATGCGTAGGAATCATGGGAGTCTTGTTAACTGGTTCCAATTTGCATAAGTCAGTTGTGGGGCCTGAGGTTCTTCCATGTGTTAGTGTTGCTGCCACATGGTGCCCACCTCCAGTATTCTTCCTGGTCATTCCTGCGCACTGTTCTCAGACTACTATTCTGAGACAGAGAGAAACCTGGTCATGTCACTCTCCCCCTTCACGCTCGGTTGCATAGAGGAGTAAAGTCCACGCTCTGCTGTGGTTTTCAAGGAATAGCCATCTTCATCAAACACTCTTGGCACCATCTGCACTTTGGGAAGTAATTGGTACTTCCCACTCATGCCGTGAACTCTTACCAGCTCTTTCTCACTACCTGTTACTCTTCCCTTAAGGGTTCTGTGCCAGTTTTAACCTCTCAGGCAAAGACTCACCCTGCATTTTCCTCTTTGTCTCCATATCACTTGGTATATTTAATATAGTATTTATCATAGTGTCTTATAATTATTTGCTATTTATCCAGCCAAGAAATAGCTACCATGAGGTACTATTTTAGCTGCTGAGGAGACAGCAGTGAACACAAAAAGAGGGGGGGTGGAATTTTCCCATTCTGGGCTTATATTTTGGCACTTTTTTTGTTGTTTCTGCCTTACACACACTTGGAATTTTTTCTTTTTCTTTCTTCTTTTCTCCAATCCTCCTTCTGTCTCCCTCTTTCCTCTTATTCACCTTCATATTCCTAGTGTTCAGAATATAGTGAGTGAGCTATATGTTTTGGGTGAATTATTTCCCATATACTTCATACTGTTTGCTAAATTCTGTGTTATGCATAGGACCACAGAGACACAAACAGGGCTTTCCCATAAGCAGCTTGTGAAGACAGAAGACAATATTCCAATTAGACTCTACTTCTGATAACAGTGACAGTGCTGGGGAGAGGTAGCCAGAAGAGGATATCTATAGGCAGAAGTCAGAGATGGAAGAGAAAGGGATTTAGATTTCTTAGAAATCTCACTTCAGCTAAAAAATGTAATGTAGATTTTTGCATTCTACTCTGTATTGATTGTTTTATAGAATTTGTGTTCTTAATTGCTTACCACAGAACAGAAGTGATTTCTAAGTGTCAATCAGTAATGCCCTCCCAGTGTGGCCTTCTTTATCATTTAATTTGATATCAGTGCCACCCACAACACCTTCATTCAAGAATCATATTGTTCTTTTAATTCATCCTGGTGGAGAAAGGTCTGGGACAGGGACCCATAAAGCAGTGTGTAACTGTATGTAGATACTTCAGTGATAGCATCATGGCTGAAAAAACAGCAAAGTGGAACTCAGCTTGGAAGATGTTGTAAATTAAAAGTCTTCCATGTGAAGGACCACAGTATGGTTTGGCACAGGGAAGGGATTTCTAGGTAAGAGAAAGGTAAATGTGAAGACTTAGCAGAGTTTGTGTCTGCAGGGATTAGTGTAATTTTTGAAGCCATCAGGCTTTTCTAGAAGAGAGAATGTTATTCAGTGGGAACCAGCTTTTTGTGGGAGGAACAAGGCACCCAGTGACCTGGCTCCTGGGTGACCTGACTTTGACTCTGTCACTGATTTGCTGACTGCCCTTGGGCAAGTCAGTTAACCTTTCTGGACCTCATTTCTTTATCTTTAAATTGAGAGAGATGAAATATGATCTGTAATTTACCTTTCAGCTCCTGCATTCTGACTTACCTGTCAAACAGGGTGGCCTGGAGCTTTTTGCTTCAAGGACTTAGCTTCTGTTATAATTGCTGTTTACTTTGGAGTCTTGCCCAGTGACCAAACTGAAAATATGAGCTGTTTGAGTCTTCCCTTGCCTTGGTCTCATTTATTTCTCTCGGATTTTGATTGCCTGTTTCTCCCTCGTGCTTGTTTTCTTGTTCAGTGAGTCCTTCAGAAGATTTTTCCTGAACTGTTGCCTGTGCTGACATCTCCCCTCCCACTAGCTGCTGCTGGAATTCATCTTGTGTACACTTCAGCTAAATTAGTCTCCCTGTGTCTCTCCTCTATAAAAATCAGCTAGTGAGTTTCCATTGTCTTCCAAAGAAAGGCCAAATCCATTAGCCCACTACTCAGTATCCTCTGTCCGCCTTGCTTGCATTACTTCCCTTTCACATGACCTATGGAATAGTTAAGCCAAACCTAACACCCTCCTGGTGCCTTCTATCCTGTCCTTCCCTTCCTCTGATTTGTTCAGTCTCAACATTGTGTCACAGTTTTCCCACCTCAAGTCACTCCATCTTCATGAGATTGCTCAGGCTCCCCTCAACTAGAACCAGTTTTCTTCTTCTCAGCTCTCTAGCACCCATGGCACCTTTTCTGTACCTCATAGTATAATGACTTTGTTTTTATTTTTTGTATCACTGGATCTCTCACTTTATCTTTCCTATGTAAACTGGGTGGGGCCCCAGTAAATAGTTAATTCTGACTAATTATAGCTTAGATGCTTGTTATCTTTTGTTGGTAGGATTTCTTTCTTTTTGGGGCATAGTGCTGGGGATTGTAGAGGCAAGCACTCTACAAACTGAGCTATATCCCCAGCCCCAGGATTTCTTATTTATCTGGATTACCACTAATTCGAATGTAGAAAAGAACCATTGCCATAAATGTGCTAGCAATTTCCAAGTTTATATTTAAGACAAGCAAAATCTTTTCAGCTTGGTGAACCTTATCTTTGGGTGTGTGTGGGGTGGGGGGTTTCATTCATTGTTTGTTTTGTTTTTGCAGTGCTAGAGAAGAAAGCCATGCTAGCAAGCAGTTTGCCAGTGAAGCTAGATCCCTGGCCCTGTCTTTGTATTTTGAGTAGCATCTACATAAGCTGTCAAGGCAGTGCAGGGCATCTTCCTTTACACTTGAAGTATTTTATAGCCTGTGTCAGTTAGTACACTTAGCAATTGTTTTATGCTGTGAAGTTTTTGGAATGAGGATTTCTAAACTTGAGGGATTTTTTTAAAGAAAAATTAACAAATGGAATAATTCAGTAAATTAAGAACTTTTATTTTGATACTAGAAACAGATTATTGTCTTTAATTCAGTATCATATAATTGGTGTTTATATCAGAAGTTGTATTCCATACTTTCAGAACCATTAATAACATTATTGAAAGTTTGGTTTTTCTGTGGATTATAGATCTGGTTATGACCTAGTCAGCTATATGCAGACTTCCTATGAAATGGTTGTATGAGGAAGGTGGAGTGCATCCTGGTTGAAAGAATGCAGTTGTATATGTTCTAAGGTGACTTACAATGTATTACGTCCCCTCAGAAAATGTGTATTTGGGGAGGCTGATGAGAAATAGAAGCCCTTAAGATTCCCACTGTTACTTTTTGTCCAGTGGCCCTTTTAACTAATCTTATTTATACTACTGTGCTGAGATAGCCAAGTCTTCAAGAGTATCAACCTGAACCCAAGGAAAGCAACTACATCTTACCTAGCATTAGACCATCAACAGACATTACCTCGTTTTTCTCCAGATGATGTAAGATTAATCTTGGTTCTAGCAATCTCATGTAGGTATAAGTGTACTCACAATAAAAATTGTCATATTGCTTCCTCCCAGTGCTGTTTAGTTCAAAATACAGTGGTTCTTTCTTTCCCCCATATTTTTATTGGTGCATTATAATTATACATAACAGTGGAATTCATTGTGACATTTATACATGCAGTTGATGTAATAATATAATTTAATCAGTGTCATTCTCCTATATTTTTCCTTTCTTTCTCCTCCTCCCTTCCCCCTGGCCCCTTTCCTGTAAATACCGTGGTTCTTTAAAGTTGTTGCAAGTAGTTTATCTATTAAAACTGTTAAGTAAATGAGGAATACTTTGTAATCAATTACATGATCCAAAGTGTGCAGGGGCTGCAGTTGTAGCTCAGTGATAGAACGCTTGCCTAGCACCACATAAAAATAAATAAAAAGTAAAAACGAAGTATGCATATTTCTTCCAGTACACAGATAAAGGAATGGAACCTGGTAAGGATCAGTGAGAGAAATAACTCCCATGGGAAACCAGAAAGCTAAAACTCCCTTTGCTCTTTTAGTAGTAATATGGAAAGAAGGGCAGAATTGATTTATAGCAAGCCTTATTGCTCCATTGACCATTCTGTTGATTGGGATCTGTGATGTGGGTGGTAGGAAGGGGCAGGTGGATTTTGATCTCTGTATTTGATATCTCTTTCCCCCTCCCCCCTTTTCTTCAGGAGTTAGAGGCAGCCCTTCACAGAGATGACGTGGAGTTTATCAGTGACCTGATTGCCTGTCTGCTTCAGGGCTGCTATCAACGCAGGGATATCACGTAAGTAATCCTGGTCTTACTAATTATTTCTTGAAGAGGGAACTAATTAATAAGTCTTTGATGTTTCCTTTCTCCTATAACAAACCAGAATCCATCATTAGCTAGTATATAACAGTGTAGGCTTTAGTATGTACAGATGAATTCTAGTTTTATCTTACTTTTACTCATCTTTTACACATGGTTAAACCATCTAACATACTTGAGTGTAGAATTTCTTTCTGTTGTATTTACCTTATTCTGATTTTGGCTTGTAATAATGGTAAAACATTGCCTAACAAATTAAAATTAAGTTTTACAACATTTCTGTTGTTTATATTTCTTCTGTTGTTCACATAACTGATGGTAGTAGTGTAATTTACTTGACCTCTGAGCTCCCTTACGCTTATGCTGCCAAGTAAACAGCACTCCAGTGCCTTCAAAATGTATAAAGATTTGGAACATATTTTATCTGCCTACACAGATAAAATATAGGAGCTTCCTATATTAAGAGCCATCCTATTTTGTTTTGCTTTTGAGAAGGGGGTCTGGGGGCTTACGCTTTGGCTGGTCTAGAACCCTTGGACTCATGTGATCTTCTGCCTCAGCCTCCTGGCTAGCTACAGCTGTAGGGATTATCCCTTTGTTTTGATCCCAACAGTTGCACTTTTTGCTACATTTCTACACAGAACTATAGGACAAACTTATTTTAAAAAAGGCTAGGCCCAGTGGATTTCCCAATCTCTTGGCTCTCTGTTGTCATTTAGGGATTGTTAATGGCTGGTATTTTTCATACTGTCAAAGATGATATCTCAGATATTTTTGCTGTAATGAATGTAACCTGTTAAGGCTGGGAATCTATGTTAATTATGTTAATCTGCAATAGATTTCTCACAAGGTGAGAAAGAGATAGACGAAATGTCATTTTTCTCAGTACTCCTTACCAGAGTTACTGCTTCCTGGATTCATAAATATAACAACTTTACCCCCTGGAAGACTTAGGTTGTATTTATAAATACTAATTAAAGTAAGATAGATAAAGTATATTATAGTGTATTCTTCCATTTTCTATTTAGGGCAAAGATTTGGGAGTTTCTGATTGTCTTTAAAATGTAGCTGTATTCATACTCTGTGTATAAATCAGTTTCTTTGCTGGAATTTCTTTCACTGTAGCAACCACTTTTTATATAAACAACTTTTCTCTAAATGTCATTGTCAGATCCAACCTGTAAGTAGACATATTAGGTCTAGCTTTTAATTGTGGAAAACACATTATAATGAGTAGCCTTATATAAAATCTATTAGGTAAAACAACTTATCTCCTCAATATAAGTTTCTGAAAGTGTATAGTCACTCAGAAGAAATGCCCACTTAAGATTTTGTAACTAATTGCCAGGCTGCCCAACACAGTGATAGTTCTTTTCATCCTTGAGCCGTCAGTGTGTGTGAGAGTATCTGATTGCATAATACTCATTACCTCTGGACATGGCTCACTATCTGTATGCCTGCCAGTGGGTCCTGGAAAACACTTTCTTGAAGCTTACATTTTTGTGCTGCGGTAGGGGTGGATATTCCACTAATAATTACAGAAATTATTATATAATTGCAGATTACACAATTACTGGGATAAAGGTTTAGCAAAATATGGTGTATCTTCAGAACATAAAACCCGGTGTGAGAAAGTTCTCTGTGCCTTCCCATACAGGCTCTTATGGTATAGTCTTCATGATGGGGCTGATCTCTCTAATTGTGCTTTTGTTTAAAATTGGTTTTACCTAATCCTTCTTGGTAGTTTTTCCAGATAAAGATTACACAATTTTTGTCATGTTCTATAAGAAATGCTGTAATCCTCTTATTCTGATTAAAATTTAATAAGCCTATGAGGAAATTTGGGCAATATGGCATCTTTACAATATTGAGATTGTGGGGGGGTTTTTTTGGTACTAGGGATTGAGCACTACATCGCTGAGCTACATTCCCAAACTTTTTTTGTATTTTATTCAGAGACAGAGTCTCACCGAGTTGCTTAGCACCTTGCTTTTGCTGAGGCTGGCTTTGAACTCTAGACCCTCCTGCCTTGGCTGGGATTACAAGCATGCGCCTCTTTGCCCAGCAACATTGGTTTTTTATTCAAGCCTTTAATATCACTCAGTAAAAAGTCACAGCTTTATTAATTTATGACTGACACCGTCTTGGCTATTTTAACTAATTGTTGCCATTAAGAGTATAACCGGGACTGGGATAGTGGCTCAGTGATAGAGTGCTTGCCTAACATGAGGCACTGGGTTCAGTTCTCAGCACCACATATAAATAAACAGAAAAAAATCCATTGACAACCAAAAAAATGTTTAAAAAAATATAATCTGGGCTGGGGATGTGGCTCAAGCTGTAGCGTGCTCGCCTGGCATGCATGCGGCCCAGGTTCGATCCTCAGCACCACATACAAACAAAGATGTTGTGTCTGCCTGAAAACAAACAAAAAAAATTTTTTTTAAATTCTCTCTCTCTCTAAACATATATATATACACAAACTGGGCATGATGGAATATAATCTAAGCTTCCCGGGAGACTTAGGCAGGAGGACCACAAGTTCATGGCTAGCCTTTGCAACTTAACAAGACCTTGCCTCAAAATAAAATATATATATATATGGGGCAAGGGAGATAGCTCAACGGCATGGTTCCCTTGGGTTCAGCCCCCAGTACCAGGAGTGGGAGGAAATATGAGTACAATCACATTGACATTTTGAAATGTAGAATGTGCTATATATCACTTGCTAACCTTATTTATTTATTTATTTATTTGTTTGTTTGTTTATTTATCTTGTTGATTTTTCCCCCCCTGTCTGTCCTTTGCAGTGTTAATCCTCATGTGTGTTTTGTGCTGTATTAGTTATCTACTTTTGTTTGATTACTGACTTTTTTTAAAAAGTAATTTTTAAGTTGTCAATGAATCATTCTTTTATTTATTTATATGGGGTGCTGAGGATCGAACCCAGTGCCTCTCACATGCTAGGCAAGTGTTCTACCACTGAGCCACAACCTCAGCCCCTGGTTACTGACTTTTAGTGTATGTAACAAATTATTCTAAAACTCCACGTTTTCATAATATCTCAAAATATACTTTCATGGGTATCTAAAAATAACAAAAGTTTAAACCAGGATTTGAGTTAAATTGGAACCCCCCCCCAATATAAAGAAAACAACAACAAATTAGAAACTTGGCAACTTGACACAGAAATTTATTGTCTCCGTTTTTATGGGTAAGTAATCTGGGGCCCTGACAGCTGCATGTGTTTCACAAGGCTGTGATCAAGGTGCCATACTCCTCAAAACTTATTGACGAATAATATATGCACAGAAGAGCACATATTTTTAAATTATACAGCTCAGTGAATTTTCACAAGCTAAATATATCTGTGTAATGGGAACCTCCAGAATAAAGAACATTTCTATAGATTTTACTCTTTCCACTGAAGAGAATAACCTAAAGTGATAGTTATTTTGCTTCACCCTTGGTGACTCAAGTGTAATTAGTGAATGCATACATATGTAGTATTCTCTGAAGTTTACTTTCATCTCATTCTAAAGAAAGAGAATTTGGATAAATGAATGCTTGCTTTTTTGGCGGTAGAAGTTAACCTATAAACAGGGAGCTAAGTAAGTTTTTTAATCTCTTTGTATATAACTTGTCTCATATGTAAAAGGGATTATAACAATGCCCAGAAAAAGTTACAATGAGGATAAAAGTATCTAATTCAGGAGTACAGAATACCTTAGAACATTCTTGATAAAGTATACTTTATAATGTTTAGAAACTGGCATTAGTTTCTACCAAGGCAGAATATAAAGTAGGCATTGATTCCAAGTTTCTTTAGCCTTTGTAATTTGCACTTTTATTTTATATTTTTGGTTCTGGAGATGTTGACTCCAGAGCCTTATACATGAATTGTAATCACAGTTTGCAGGTTTCAGAGTGTGCCAGGAAACCTTTTCTGTGTGAGTCATATGATGTGTCACAGCTGCTTATCTCTGTCATTATAGTATGAAACAACTATTTTGACTGATAAGCGACACTGAAGCTCTAGCTAAGTGGTAGAGCTCTTGCCTAGCACATGTGAGGCACTCCATTCAAAACTCAGCACCACATAAGAATTAAAAAATCCTGTGTTTCTTCGGAATTTTCCCCCCTCAACCATTAAAAATAACAAAAACTATTCTTCACAAGCTGTTTTTAAAAAAACAGATATCAGGCCAAATTTTGATCCCCAGGTCAGTTGGTAGGCCTCTATTTTTTGTGAAATTAAATGGGTTATTATTCTGTTTTCATTAACTCAATCTAATCTTGAAACTGGAATATGGAACCCCTATTTTAACTGATCTTTCCAAACTGGGATTTTTGCTTTTTAGAGAACAACATGATGCTGTGTAAGGGCCTTGCTCTGAAGGATTTTCAGGAACTCTCTTTTAATCCATATAGCAAGCTCATAATAGAAAGTTCTCCCTCATCTACCCAATAAAGACTTATTGTGAGATTAATTGCTTACAGTTGCATAGCCTTTAATTAACAGTAAGGTAGATTTGGTCCGTAGACCTTTAGCCCTTAACCACAACTCACATGTTCTAGAAAGAATACCAAAAGATTTTCCTTGAAGACAAGAGTGTTTTAGCTCTTTTTAATGATTTGTTCTTCTTTGGCACTCTAATGAAATTGATGAAACCCATCTAAAAATAATGTTTTGAAATCACAAAATTAGAATTACAGTAGAACACTGTTACACAGTAAAATAATGGAGTATTACAGAATAAAAGTTTTGACATTGTGAAGAGTTACTTAATTGATTAAATTACATACTCTGGGGCTGAGTTTGTGGCTCAGTGGTAGAACACTTGCCCTGGCATTTATGAAGAGCTGGGTTTGATTTTTCAGCACCACATATAAATTAATAAATGAATAAAGGTCCATCAACAACTAAAAATATTTTTTTAAAAAAATTACATACTCTGGCAGAACATCTACAATTT